GAAGCATGGGTCAGCCAGCGCCATACCGCAAGTGGGCTAGCATCATCTCGCATACGTGCTGGTATGCTGACCTCTGTGTGGCTGGAATTTGAGGCTATCATGATGGCGAACGCTGAATGGCCCGTCGACAAAGGTTGAACTGAATCAAGCGGCAGAAGGTGGTCCGTGATCTCCAACGAAATGCGACTGTGGGGTTGCGAAGTTGGGAGGACAAACTGTTCTGGCTATCTCGGCCGCGTCAAGTCCACCAGAGAGCCACTTCTAGTGGATGCGCTAGAAATGTGAGAGACCAAATAGTCTTACTGTGAGGGACGCGGGAGACTGAGAATGCAACCTGACGAGCCTTTTCGGCGGGTATTGGCCACGACAGTCACGCCAGACACGGGCAGCCGCCGGTAGAGAGGGCGGCAGACCGAGATGACTGTTGGAGCTCAAGGGACAAACTTCCGAAGCTGACCGGTTGTCGAAGGAATGGAAGAAAAAGAATCTTCGGAAGCAAGGGATCTTTTTCAGCAAGCGAGCTCGCCAAACGGCAAACCCACTGTTACCGTTGCCCACGCTCGGAGATGGCCCGTTCGGTACGGGTATTGTTGAGCCAATGCCACACTGCTAGGCAGACAGACGAACAATGGATATGCACCCGTCGTGCTGGATTTCATCGCATCTTTCGAGCCCCCCCACTGAGGGCTCCCATGTCAAATTGTTGTCTGCCGGTGTCAGGCTGGTCTTGGATAGGTCCTCCGCAGCCGACAGCACATGGGCCGATATATGGATAGAAATGCGCCGCAACTGAGAAAGGAGGACCCTCTTCTCATTCCGAATCCTGATTGCCAACCTGTCGACGACTCGTTCGCCAAGCACCATGATGGGCCTTGCACTTCGTATCACGTCGCATATGACCCTCCGCTACGGCAAACATGTCTGCTGTGCGAAGGATGCCACACGGCGCGTGGTGGTACACATCGCTGCGACAATGGCGTCGACGGGATGCGGTACACTGTGTGCCAAGTATCCCGGGCAGAGACGGACGCGGTACGGCGTTGTATCTGTACGGCTCGGGTTCGCGGACGGATGCCCTGCTCCGATCGTCGTCCGCATCACGTCTCGCGTGCCAGCAACACTCTGCTCCCGCAGCCATGTCGAAACGAATCGCCATGCGGTTGCAGGGCTCTGCTTTGGCATAATGAAGCACTCGGGATGTCAAGAGCGTTTTGGTTGGGACCCTGCCCAAGGAGAACGATAAGCTTGTCTCGTGGGCAGACGCTTATGTTTGTGCGTCTGCGCATCCCCAAGCTTTAAATGACAGCTCTCGTCCAGTGACAGGCCTCAGCGCACACAGACTTGAGCCCTTGGGCGAATGGCCGTCCTCCAGTCTTGACAATGTCTGTCGCAGCACATCAGACGAACGACAGGGGCCGCCCGTTCTCGGGGCCTGTGAATGGCCTAAACACCCTCGTCTCTGGAACTCGGCATGCCCTCGACGAAACAGAGAAAAGCGGCGACCTTGACCCTTAAACTCACCGGTGCCCAGCGAGTTTGAGATTGTTTCTCAGACGGGCAAGGTGCCTGCAGGGAGTAAAGAAACATCTCTTCCATCGCGTGCGATGGATGCAAGGGCAAGCCTGCACTGCTTCGCCTTCGACACCCGAAGAAACATGCCCGATCGCTCTGGTCCAAGAGACAGATGTTGGCTTGTTGGCTGTCCCCGCCAGACAGCCCAGGCAAACTGGGTTGTGATGGCCCGACGAAGTACGAGGCAAAAGTCGGTCTGGGATCCCAATGGCCAGAGCTAAAGAGCAAGAGAAAAAATGCATCTGGCATGCCGGGGATACGGCGGAGCAGAGAACAATTGGGACTGCCCGCAAAATCTCGTGTTCACGATGTGATTCGTGCATCCCGTTGTCCCTCTGCCGACCCAACATGGTGTCACTTTTACGATGCAACACTCTTTGCCAGATATTCGGCCAGTAAGGTGTCGACATGTTGGTGAGTTTTTATGAGCCACGACGTTTTAAGCGTTCCCGTTTCTCGCACTTGCATCGACAGCACTGCACGGTGCAGCAGGTACCAGGCCAGATTGCGGCCAGAGAATTGGCCGGATGCGCCTGCCAGGGCGGCTTCCAAAGCACGATGAGTCCCATGCAGTTTCCACCACCTTCACCATGTTTCGAGGCCACATGATGCTGTGGAGGCGGTAAAGCGTACCGCCGTAGATCGATGTAGACCTCGAGCTGCACGTCAATGGATGGACACAATAGTGTCGATATTGAGTATCCGGGAGGAGGTTCAGTCGTGTTATCGCGAATCGCGCACACATCCCTCCACCGGGCCCCTTCATGTCAGTCAAGTTGCGGACATATTGCGTCTTGATTGCGCCCGACATGATATCTCTAGTCGTCGTCGCCCTCATTTTAAGATGCATCGTCTGTTCCCAGCGCTTCCAGAGTTCCGGCAAGTTCGGTATGGCCGTGGCCCATGGCCCTGCCCTGGCGGCCACAACCAAGCATTTTCGCCTGTTCGGACCACGGGTTCGCGAATCTTTTTATTGGTGACATGCACACTTGCGAGTTATCAAGGACTGCCAAGAGCGGAGGGTCTCGCCCAGACGGCCCCCCTTGGATCGAAGCTCGCGCCCTGCAGACTCTGGAGTTCGCGGAGTAACGTTGACTGGCCAAGAAGTTTCCGCAGTGAAGTTCGACAGTCAGGCTCTGCTTCTCCCTTCGCCGGTGTCTTTCTGCCGTTCCCTCCCTCAAAGTTCCAAGCGGGAGCACAACGATCCGTCGGGTCGCATGAGAAGTTTGATGGATGTTTTCATGCGGGCGGAAAAAAGAGACCCTAACACAGAAAAGACGAGCAACTTAGGCTCCGACGGCCGTTTCTGGTGGTCCGACAGAGGGCGGTTGATGGCGGCCATTGAGACGGCAAAGGGGCGTCGGGCCCAATCAGCCGTCTGGAGGCCCTACCGAAGAATCGATGCCGCCAATCAAGCGGTTGGTGGGAGTTGGAGAGGTAGATGCAGACGCTTGCGTTCTTGTCATCCCCTTGGGCTAACACGGCTTGACTTTTCTTTGGTCGGTGTCGAGCGGTAGTCACCCAAGGGCGGTTCTCCTTGGACAGAGGCAGCTAACCCCTGCCACCGCCTCGTTTGGTGGGTGTGGAGTTTGCTGCTGTGGTCGTGGGTGTGACCAACCACCCCAGTCCCTAGGAGCGGCGAGATGTGGAGGTTTTGGCGCTGGGAGACGCAGACGAGCAGGGAAAACTGACGAGGCTCATGATGGATGACGAAGAAATCTTCAGCTGGCGGTCAACCGCAACCTACCTTGGTGTGGCGACGAGGAAGTCATGGTGATGATCACCGGCAGAAGTTGGCGAGCGCAGTCAGAGAAGCCTGCCACCAAAGGCTATTCAAAGTGACATGAGTACCAGGCAAATGGTTGACTGCCGTAGATGGCGGGCTGCAGAGTGCCGCCAAACCTTCCACACTCGTTTCTCCCTCCAATCCAAGGCAGAGACAGCATCGCGGCGTTCTGGGAATGCCGCTCCCACACCTCCGGGACTCTGTCGCTTTCGTCTCTCGTCAGTCTCATAATCGCGTGGGCAAACGTAGCGGTCTTTCAGGGCGTGGCTTTCAGCGCCATGATCCAGCAACCACGGAGATGGTAACCTGGATGCGTAGAGGTATCTGGGGACGAGGTCAAATGTCGACGCCACTTTCCACCTCTCTCGAGCGAGATAGGACTTGTAAGTGGCATCTTCTACATGAAACAGCACACTTTGGATGCAATGCTCGAGGCATCGCAGATTCCGTCGACACACGATGGCCAAGCCGTCCTGGCGGCTTCCTGGCGTTGAGGACGAATTAGCGTGTGGAGCCGTAGATTGTGCACATCTTGATGAAGGGGTGTTGTGTGAGGTGTGTGAAGCGGTGGACGTGGATGTGGATTGTGGATTGTGGATGGTGTGTGGGTGGGAATGGATAAGGTAAAGAGAGGGGCGTGGGCCATAAACGACATCGTGTGGTGGGAGAGCAGAGAGAGAGAGAGAGAGGGGCAGCGTATTCGTAGGTCATTGTGTGTGCACTCGATGTAAGTTTTTTTCCCTCCTCCTCTTCCTTCCTTCCACTTGGTGGGCGCACACCCACCCCCTTGTTCAGCAGGAAGGCACTTGCTTAAGCAGTAGTGCAGAGTGAGGTAGGTGTAGAGAGAGCAAGAACGACAGGAGGAGGGACCGACCACCAGCCTCCATGGCCCCTGCCCCGTCTGGCCGTGTCAGCCGGATTGCAGCACACTGTGGTCCCTGTACCCTCTGGACCCGCTTCAGAATTGGACCTGACCAGGATCGGGATTAGGACAGGGATGAGGGAGCCAGGACTGGGATTGGCTTGAATGGCTTGACTGGGACCAGGGAAAGCGCGCCAGGGCCAGGTGCAAGTGCGAAAGTGTGCAAAGTGCAGGAGCATCCCACTCTCTGCCTCCTGCTCCTGATGGCTTGCAACCGCGATACGTACTCGCACTTGCACCTGCGCCAGTCTCTGGCTGTCTATCTGGCGGCGTGCAGTTGGCATCTGTGCAGAAATGGTCCTAGCACCCGTACTGCGTACCCTCCTCCCATGCGCACTTAGTCTCTCCCATGTCGGTCCCCTTGCAACCTATTTACACATACGGAGCCCCCATGTCCCCATTCAAGCTGCTTGTGCCTACAGGTATCCATATCCAAGACAAGCCTGCCAGACCGACTCGTCCATTAAAATATCTTCGCCTACCCTCCTACTTCTGTTACCACTTCTTCTTGCTCCTTTCCCTTCTCTTCAAGAGAACCACACAAAGTGTTTCCAACCACAGCTACATTACATTCTCGGCAGAAGAGTCTGGTCACTTACACGCACACGCACTGCCACAGCCCATCGACCTTTGCTGTAGACCAGCTGCCCTGCGACACTGAAAACGCCCAGTCTCAGATTTCCCCGAGGGATATCGACAACACCGTCACCTTCACACACCATGTCTCTGGCCGGCCAGACTATGCCCGTCAGGGAGTCGGTACATTCCAGCCGGGAACAGGTGGCTACCGAACAGAAGGATCAGCAACAGTCGCAAAGGTCGTCTTATAGAGATTCGCTCCCGAACGCTCCTCGACCTCCCGTTTACAACGAAGACGCCTACAACGAGAACGATAACGACAAGATGTACCGCGAATATTACGACGACATGTCGGCCACTTCTCCCAAGAAGGGCCAGCCTCAACAATCAGCTCCCGCCCTGCCTGCCAAGAGCTCACTACGAGCCTCGAGACTACTCGACGGTATGGCTCTCAAGATCATTACCAACCAACCCACAACCACCCAGGCACCTCAAGAGGTCTACCTCTCTTCCGAAGAGGAGGCCTCGTCTTCTGCCGACGAGTTCTCAGACTACGGCTACGACTCCGATACCGAAGAGTCTGCCGACTCTCCTGTGAGGAGGAAGAGCCACGAGGATACCGCTCGTGTCGTCTCTGTTGTGTACGCCGGCAAGCCTTCCATTGTCGACCTGCCTTCCACCAGAAGATCGGCCTCTCCCGAGTCCATGGAGTCCCGTCCTCCCAGCAGACCCTGCAGCCGCTTGGCTACTTCCGCCACAGCACCTTCATTACGAAGGATGTCCACCTCCACCAGCGCCTCTTCTTTCTCTCCCATTTTGCACCCTCCCCGATCCAGCAGCATGATGATCACTAGCAGCATGCTGCCCAAGGAGCGCCCTTCTTTCCTTAACATCGACCCGTGCCCCACACCGACCTACGAGGAGCGGACCGTCGAGGAGGATCAGCGCCCTGTTGAGGTTGAACGTCCCGAGAGGCCAAAGACGCCGACTTCTGCTCTCTTCAGGCGGACGCTGAGCATTGTCCGAAAGCGCAGCCGCCCCCAGCTTAGAGACCTAGCCGCCGCCAACTCTTCGCGCGACCAACTGTCCTCCCCGTCGATGCAGAACCTTCCTCTAAGTGCCAACTCGGACATTACCTACATTAAGGAGGAGCCCGAACAGGCGACGAAGACTCCCAACAGCCCTTGGGCTGCCGTCAGCTACCATGAGATCATGCGGGCGGCCAAGAAGAACTCCCAAACCGCACAACCTCCTACCCCTTCGACCCCCAGTGTTGCATCTCCCGTGTCCCCCGCACCCGGCAACACGAGGAATCGCATTCTGAGCGGCCTGAGAGACAGGAGGAAGAGCATCAAGATCGGCTAGTCGCCGAACAAGACCAAGAACAAAAAAATCACAAAACACCAAAAAAAGAGCCAAACACACGGCAGGAACTCGTGCTTGAAACATTTTGCATTCGAATTAGGACTTTGCTTTGCATGCACGGCGCACCAACGGGGACTGGGCCGGGATCACGGCGTTTCAAACTGACCCTCGGGCGAGGCTCACGGGGTTTTACTGGGTTTGGCCAACACTCCTTTCTTTTGGCAACAACTTATGATGGAACGAATTTCTTTTGAGTGTACAAACGGACTGAGTAATGTGTAAAGGTGGCGGGAGGAGGAGCAGACACAAAAGCCTTGCACACAATAGGATTGTGGTGGCATGTACCAAAAAGGGTGGCACTTGTCGAGACGGAGACCACAAGGCGCGGCCGAATCGGCCCCAGCACGCCATTGGGGGCGTGGCGTAGTAGACATTATCAATGATACCAACACTTCTATTTGTTCAAAACTCAAAATCTTCTCTGGAGTGCATCTTGTCACGTTTGTGACTGATTATCGCTACTGACGGGGAACATGGCACGAACGGGAGGACAGTGTGTTGGAAGCTCGGACCGTCTGAAGCTCGATTCTCGGTTTCGGCGTTGGCCAACACGAGTCGCGATTGGTGCCGCCGCATTCGCATTGTTGGAGAAGGAGAAACAGGAGGAGGAGGAGGCTCTGACGGCCGACAACTGGAGCGTGACCTCAGACCATTCCAACGACTCCGGACGAGCCGACTCACAAACCGACCGACCTCGCCAAAGTATGTGACGAGTCGTTCGTTAGAACACCGACGACCGAACGAACGTAAACTCTCCAACCGCGCGCCGCCGGCTTCATCAGCATCAGCTTGTCTCTTTTTCCCCCCTTCACTTGTCTGGTCCCTGCGTTTGTTCTATTTCCAGGCGAACCTATAGCTGGGGGCGAGGGGGGCGAGGGGGGCGAAACAGCCGCATTATTGCTCCCGCCGTCTATATGCGCGTTTCTTGACGCCTTCGCAAAAGGCGAGTGCGTTGGCTATAGTGCGGCTGGACCGTACGTGTGTGTGGATTAGCAGAGACGGGCAAGGTTGACTGGCGGAGGTCGTGCCAAATCCAACAACCAAGGTCTCTTTTCTCTCTACCGCATAATGGTAGGTAGCGTTGAATCACGATAGCCAAGACATTTCATCTTTTTTCGGCCCCCGCGTCCGGCCCTGTGCCTCCCTCATCACGAACATGCAGTCGTCCAAAATACTACCAGGCCCCCAAGAATTGAGGCTTTGAACAGGAAGTCCATGGTCAGGTCCCACGTTCCGTCAAAAGAAGAAGAATCGGACATGGGTGTGCGGGCTGCGGTGCCACCTGGGATGCACGTTCTAAAAACGACGAAAAAAGCACGAGGCTGTTTAGTTGCTTCCGATGTGGCCCCCTCCAGGACCCAGAGTACGTAAGTCCCCAACCCCCGTCGCGATTGCTACCTTACTTCTATCTTTCTTTATTACCTAAGGCATGTGAGATGCACCCGCCGGTTGACCGACGGAAACGTCTTTTTTGGCGGCTCGCTTGATATTTTTTTTTTTTTTTTTCGGTGGTAGGGTACGTTGACGGAAGAGGCGAAGGAGGCGAGGAGAAAAAACTAGGAACGGCCGGCCCCTTGTCTTGTTGATCGTTGGGCATTCATGGCAGGAACACGTCGGCGGCCGTCGAACGAATGCAGCAAGGCAGGGCAGTTTTTTTGGACGTTGGAGGGGGTGGGAAGAAACTTGGATTCAATGTGTGTGATGTCGTCTACTGACTGACTGCGTTGTACTCCACCAAAAGACGTTTACGTATCCGCGAGAGGCGCTTTTTTGGGCGGCACTGCGGAGTGACCACCCCCCAAAAACGATATGTAGGTTGATGCAGGTGGCTTGTCCACCTGTCGAATCGTTTTTCTTTTTCTCGAATGACTTTCGAGTCACCTTCAACAACGAAAAAGCCCATGACGCACGTTCCATGGCGGGGTTGATTGACATTGACGAAAACCTCCCTTGGGCGACGGCGTGACCACAAGATTCGTACAAGAGGTTGGGTTTTTTCTGCACTCGTAGGATTGATTATCAGGGCACACAGACACACACACACAGTACGGCCGAATTGGTTTTTGGGGGCGGGGTCCGTTTGCTGTGAATGGTGTTGGTCGAGGCCTGGGATCTGGATCAGAAACGAAGAATAGAGGACTTGATCGCATTCGTCATTCGGCAGGGAGCTGGCACCCAAGGGAACCAGACACAGACGGGTTCACACGACCTTGCATCCCACCACCTCGGGATCGGGGCTGCGATGGTTTGAATCCAATCGCCAAAGACTTTCTAGGACAGGCCATCGAAGGCAGGGAGAGAGAGACCGAGGAAGAAGAGAGAGAGACTGACTTTTGCTTTCGGCAACTCTCTTTTCGGTCTTGGTCCTGTGGTCGCCCGCTCACTCACGTTGCATTGGAATTTCTCGGTGTCTTCTAGTAGGTCCGCAGGCGTTGCAATCTACGCCAGAAAACTCCCTCGATCCCGGAGTGATCCCACGCAGCGTACGTGTAGACGTGTCGTCGCTGCCACGCTCGGAAATCGTCTCTCGCCATTGGGCTGCCACTGAATGTAACCTCCATCACCTCCAAGTCCAAGAATCGCTCCGATGCGTGGGTTTGTGGAGTATCGACAGAGAGAGCAAGAGAGCGCAATATGGATGGGACGTGGGACGCGCGCCTGTGGCAGGGTTGAGCATGTTTCCCAAGCTCCAGCTCTTGCTTCCTTTGCTAGCTTCTTCCCTTAACGAACGGAGCATTAAGCACGATGGGAAGCCAGGTCTGGCCGGCCGCAGAACCCTGAAGGCGATTGTATAACACCGGTGGTAGCATCATAGCAGACGGCGCCTGTTTCCAAGATATTGGACAGACGCGTCGGAAGCCCGGGATAGACCTGCGTGGGTGTTTTCTTTCCCGCACCGAACGAACGAACGGCGCGCCGGAGCTTTGCTGGGGCTTGCGGGCCGTTTTCTGTGTGGCCACGATGTGGGCGGCGAAGCCCGGGACACCACCGCCGGCGCCGGTGCTAGAACAGCCGCCCTCCACTATTCACTTTACAGATTCCTGCACTGTCTATGGAAAGTACTGGTTTAGAGTAGAACGGGCGAAACATAGGGAAGGTTTACGTGTTTGTAAACAACAGTTTATCTCACACAAACCCCGCGCTAAAACGGTGGTTTTTAGACACGTAAATTTCTGTCTTGGTTTGATTGCAGCTGGGCCTTGGCCAGGACCAACGCTATTAGTGAAGAAACAATATACACGAAGCCGTCGGTCCGGTGAGGCGGGAATGATTGCGAAGTTTGTCTCTACCAGAAGCAGATTGGATACTAAAAAGTCAGATACTGTGCAAACCAAGCCCGCCTCTCATTGGCCCGTCGGTCTTCGGTAGTTGAACGTCGTCTTGTGTTGCAACGAACAATGATGGGTTGATGATCACGTCCGCCGATGACGTTGGACGTAATTTCTCACCCAGGGCTCTCCAGAAAGGCCGTGTGCATCACACATTTCGATTATCGGTTGATTACATTAGCCTATCCGTAACCGTGCCTGCCGATGAAGATGGCCCGCCCATGTGCTGTGGCTTATGCCCCCCCGGGCCGGAGTTGGTGATGATCTGCCAGGTGCTCATCTTACATGCCTCGACACGTGCACACATCATTCACAATTCGCAAACGCACACACGGCTGGAATCCACACGGGCGGGTTCGTGTGATGTTGAGAGACACAACGCTAGCCGCGGGGCTGACGGTGGCACCAGGGAACAACCTGCCGGCTTCGGCAGTATGGGAATTGTGTGATGGTGTTGTGCAGACTTGCAAGGCGGCCAAACGGGGCCTTTGGCTGATGCAATTCCCTGAAGCGCAGGGACGATCCCCGATGAGGGAGGTGGGCGGCGGTTTCGTCGATAATGGTTTCTCTGAGGTGTTCTTTTCGGGAATTTTGTAGGTCCAGAAATAGATTGTGACAAATTGGATCACACAAAATATGGTCGACTGGCTACCTGGTGTGTTGTTTCCTGTGGTCTCGTCATGCGAGCGGGACGAAGCGCGTCTACGATATCAGACGAGTGATATTGGTTATGGGGCTTAGCCGAGCTGAAGTCTGAAAGAAGAGATGGGCTGAGTCAAACAAATCTGGTAAGGCAGTTTAAGCTTTAGGGTAAGGTGGCAGGTGGCCAAGTAAGACATTCTACTCCAAACACCTGACGATCTTTCTTTAGCACAACGATAATCTATCAATCATAATCAAAACCCCGCAGATTGTTCGAAGTATGGTGTTCGTATCTGAAGATAGGCTTCAAGACCTCGGATTGTGAAGCCATGGCAAGTCTGTCGGCCAACGCGGTTTGGTTGGTGGTTCCGGTTCTCGTGATTTCCGCTCGGCTTTCCCGCAATTTTAACTACGTTGCAGACTATTCCTAGCGTCGGGGTCCATTTGTCGCAATCAATTTGAATCACGAATCTCTGGCCGTACCTCTCAGCCTTAGCCTGCTCTGGGGGTGGCAGCCGTGTGGGAGAGGATTTTGCGATGACGCGATGCCCAATGGGGAAGGACTAGAAGACCTGTGCGAACCGGTCCGTGTTCTTCTTTCTAGCCCAGACATCCGCTGACTCTCTGCTCATTTCATCGTGGGATTATCTGGTGCTAGCATATATTGCGATTGCGATTTAGCGCGAGCAAGTGGGATCGAGGCTCGCGGAAACAAGTACAGCCGCGGTGGGAGGAATCGGGACGGTCAGGACCTAGGAGAGGCAACAGAGTTCTTGGCGTGGTGAGAGGTAGATTCCGATCCGCGGCTCGGCCGGGGTTCGTGGTGTCCCTCGAAGATTGAGGTTCCACCGGGCCATCGGGGCCACGCCTTGGGGGAGTCGTGTAGGGGTGGCAGATGCCAGAATGCTACCATCACGGCCGTTGCCACACCACCAACCACCACACCGCTACACCGCTGCTCAGTGCTCC